TAGATCGGGTTTGTTGAAAATCCCTAGAACATTGTTTTTGTTAAAGTCATGGATAAGTGTCACCCTTTTCAGTTGAAAATATGCAAAATACTCAAACTATTAGGTAAAGACCTCCTTGTAGCGTTGAATTCTTATAAGGACTCCTTCAAAGTAGGAGTCCAGCTAATGTAAAATCCAAATGGAGAAGTTTGGGTAGAAAAAATTCTTGAATGCTATTGATCGCTGAGCTAGTGTTGATCTTAAAAATCTTGAATGTTGTTGAATGCTATGATGGATCGATTTGTTGAAGAAAGAGGCTTGCATGTAGAATAAGTGTGGCTAGAGTAGGAGTCTACATCATCAAGTGGTAGTGATCTTCATACGTGGGCTCTAATCTGTATCTGATCCTGCAGTAGTTGTCACGTTTGGAAAGACAAAGTATTTGAAGAGGTATATGTTTGTGAAACTCATTCCTTCACCCCCTGATTGGCTAAAGAATCTACAACTGAGTTTCCTTCTCTGTAGGAGTGCCTTATCTGAAATTCAAATTTTTGTAAAATGGAAAAAAATTTGGGTTGAAGCTGACCAGTATTTCCAAGATGTAATAATCCTCTGCTGCACCATGTCCATTAAAATCTTAGAATCTGTTTCAATGACTAAAGAATATACCTCCAATCCATAATTTTGCAACAAAAGTAACCCATCCAGCAAAGCCCTCATTTCTGCTTCCATATTTGTATAGATCCCATAAAAGAAGGAACCTGCAAGAATAAGCTAACCACTAGAGTTTTTGAGTACTACTCTACCACCAGAGAGGCTTGGATTCCCTTTCGAAGCTCCATCAATATTGAGTTTGAGTAAACCCTCAACTGGATACTCCCAAGCTATCCACATGATTCATTTTCTGATTGAATATGGAGGAAAAAACATGCAATGAATGAAGCAAGGTCAATTCCTAAGCTGAATCCAGAACCTTGGCTTAATGTTATACACCTGCAATCCCCAGAAATGCATAATAGTTCTAAAAAGAGAATAAGAATGTAATTTATGTTCTTCAAATATCCTTCTGCATCTCTCCTTCCATAATTGGCAATAAACCAATAAAGATATGCCTGTTAATAACGAATGACTAACTGATGACTGTATATATTATTTAAATTCTCATGAATCTGGTAAGGGGCTCCTCATGATCAATTAGTTGTACTCCCAATGTCACTGAGATATGTCCCCAAGTTGATCTTGCACATTTTCAATGAATAAAAAAAGCTAAATCACAGGCAAGTAAACATAAAACACATCTACTTGCTAATGATACTCCTATAGCTTGAAATGTAGAATCCATAGGCAAGGAATGGTGCAGAATTTTCTAACCTAATATTGTGCACTAGTTGCACACATTGTTTCCAAATAGCAGCAGCTTGCACATTAAGTTGTCTAGCAGACCTTATAGTATGCCAAATAGATTTGATAGTGAAATTCCCATAGAAGAATGCTTCCAAACTAGTTTATCTTCCCTTGCAGTTAATTCTAAATGAGTACAAGTGCCCTCCTACAATAATTGATGATCCATATACTTCTGCCTCTAAGTCCCAATGGCCCTCAACACATAACTGAGAAACCTTTGGAAAGATTGTAGGAGTAATAGAATTCCTAAGAATTAAAGGACCTAAACCAGTTCAATTATCACACCAGAAATCCACTGAGCATCCTGACCTAACCAGCATTTGAGTTTTGTTCATAACCACTTCAAACCAAGGAGCCAAATCCCTATAACACTTTGCATGATGTTGTCCTATGCTAATAAGTAGATGTTTATTCTTCAAATACTTATCTACAAAAATCTTTGACCAAAGTGAATTAGCATTCAACAAGTTCCAAACTTGCTTCATTCTAAAAGTTTGTTGAACTTCTTAAAAATTTCGTATTCCCAAACCACCTTCGTCCTTTGGCATAGTTGTTTTCCCCCAAGAACACCAATGCCTCTTTTGAACTGCTTTCTTCCCAAACCAAAAAAAATTAGCCATAAAAGAATTCAATTTTGACAGGATACCTTTTGGTAGATTTATAGAGGTAAGCAATGAATTGGAATAGAATTCAATACTGACAGTATCAAAATCAATCTACCCATATTAGAAAGCAATCTTGCACTCCAACCTTTTAGTTTATGCTGAAATCTCCTAACCAATTGCTCATAATAAAATCAACCTTACTCTATCCTTGAGAATGGGACACCCCAAATAGGCAAATGGACAAACCTTGAGGGGAATATGTGCAGCATGAGAAAGTATATTTTTCCGGGAAATAGGGATTTTGGAGGAGCAATACAAAGAACTCTTAGACTTATTAACCTACTGTCCTGATGAGTTTGCATATATCCCCACAAACTTCAAAGAATTAAGCATGGACCTTGTATTACCCCTCAAGAAAATTAGGGTATCATCAACAAATAGCAGATGTGTTAATAATCTATTCCCTTTTCCTTTATGATAATATTTTACCAGTCCTCTCTCATAGACATGCCTTAAATCCCTGCTCAAATCTTCTTTAGCTAGAATAAACAGACTAGGACAAAATGGGTGTCCTTGTCTGAGTCCCCTTGATCTTGGGAAAAATCCATGCCTCCTACCATTATACATACTGATTTTTGAGGCAATTGGAAATAATATCCACAAAAGCTCTAGAGAATCCAAAACTACTCAAAGTTTGTTTCAAAAAATCTCATTCTAACCTTTCAAATGCCTTCATCATATCCATCTTCACAATGACATTCCCAGCCTCTACCTTTCTGTCCAATTCATTTACCATAAGTTGGGCTAGGGCATTGCTATCTCCAATATTCCTTCCCTTAACAAAACCTTGTTGTTCATCATAAATAAGCTTGGTAAGCAATGTACTTAATCTTGTTGCAATATTTTTTATAAAATATTTATACAAGAAATTACACAAGCTTATTGGCATGAATTCTGCAAAAGATGTAGGATTCTCTTTCTTTGGAGTAAGTGTTAGCTGAGTTGTATTGACTGACCTAGGCACCTCTCCACCCTCAAAAAAGAAATTTGTTGTAGCTTATAAGTCCATCTTGATAATCTCCCAAGTAGTATGATAAAAATGACCTAAATATTTATCTGAACCTAGGGCACTATGAATTGACATAGCAAAAATTGTAGCTTTCAACTCATCCAAAGTGATTGGAGAAGTAAGCATTAAATTATCCTCATTTTTAACCAAGTTGGGAATCACTAAAATAACTCCTCTTCAATTATGTGAGGTTCAGTAGCACACAATGCAGAATAAAATTGAACAGCACAATCTGCAATCCCTTGCCCCTCTTCACCCATTGACCTTCTTCATTTTTAGTTCTTGAAATCTTACCCTTTGCAATGGCATGAAACATTTTTGTATTCATCTCCCTCCATTGACCATTTCACATTAGCTCTTTCTCTCCAAAAAATTTCCTCCATCTTTAGTGCCTATTCCAACTCTGATTTAACCTTTTGTGGGACTTGGTTATTTAAATCTAAAATCCTCCCTCTCTAAATCAACCTCTGCCTGAACCAACCTCAACTCCAATTTCTTTACATTCTCAAAAACATTTCCAAAGATGTATTTATTACACCTCTTCAAATGAAACTTTAAATACTTTAATTTCAATAAAAAATTCTCTATAGGATTAGAGGAATACGGAGCTACCTAGTTACTTTTGACTAGCTGTAGAAAACCAAAGTGTTCAAACCACATATTCTAGAATTTAAAGTAGGAAATTCTTGAAACTGCAACAAATTCTACAAATCTTACAAGTAGGGGACAATGATCAGACTGACCTCTATCAAGATGCTCCACCATTGTACTCATAAACTTTATTCCCATTCCACACTTACCAATGCCCTATTCAATCTTTGCCACATTCTCAACAATCCTTGATGACCATTACACCAAGTGAATACAGATCCTGAATGACCACAATCCTGCAAAGCCAAGAAATTGATGACAAAAATAAACTCATTCATAATAGAAAAGCTAGGAATAGCACCCCCTTTCTTTCTGCACAAGTAACAATTGTATTGAAATCCCCCACAATCATCCAAGGTTTATGTGTAGCTGGTAAGGTTTGCAAATGACCCCATAAATCCCTCATATGCAAATGATCGCACTTAGCATATACTATAGTAATGAAAAAGGATTTCAAGCCCAAAAAAGAAGCCTCTACTGTCAATGCTTGATCATTAATTGAGATAAAGCTCACCTTCAATCTGTGGTCCCAAATTATCCAAATGTGCTTTTCAGTTAAAGGATTAGCTAAATAGGATGTAAAACCCATCCTGGTACGTAGTAGCTGCAACTTTGAAGGCATTAGTTTTGGTTCTAAAAGAGCAACCAAAAAAACATCATTTTCTTTAATTAAATTCCTTAGCCTCAGCCTAGAGGTTTCTTGTTTTGCACCCCTTTCATTCCAAATAATTGTACTAATCATTTAAATGGTTTTTGATAAAGAGGACTTACTAGATTTAGATCTAGTTACAATNATTAGTTTTGGTTCTAAAAGAGCAACCAAAAAAACATCATTTTCTTTAATTAAATTCGTTAGCCTCAGCCTAGAGGTTTCTTGTTTTGCACCCCTTTCATTCCAAATAATTGTACTAATCATTTAAATGGTTTTGATAAAGAGGACTTACTAGATTTAGATCTAGTTACAACGCCTGATTGGGGAAGTCTTTGAATTGGATCGAAGACAAAGTCTCTGACGCATCAGAATCCTGAGACTTTCCTTCAACACTATCCAAATCCCCTGAAAAATCAGCTTCTGAATGGTAGCCCCTATTTGGAGGCTTCTTATGACAATGTAAACCTATGTTATCATCAAGGCTACTCATATTAACTTCTGTGCAAACATAATCATGATCAATCAAGAAAGTAGAATCCATTGGTAAACCAACTGAAACTTGTGTAGAATAACAATGATCAGTCACAATTGTGGAATCCATTTGAGTAGGTAAAAATTGCCTATTTAATTGACATATTGGCTAAGTTGTTGTTGCTGCATTGATAGGGATTAATGGAGTAGATTCACAATGAAGGTTGGAGTGATCTGTAGCAACTTGAGATGTGGAATGATCACTACCGAATTTGTCTGCAGTGTTTAAAGAGGAATGAACCCTAGGTGTTTGTTGGAAATCCCATGTGAGGTCCTTATTTTGTTTCTCCTGATTATACTCTCGGACATTAGGATCAGTTAAAGGATGCACAACATGATCTATTCCAAGAGAACTTTCATTTTGCTCAGCAAAAGCAATAGGACTAGTTGAAACTCCACCATCTAACTCTTTGTCTAAATCCTGAGGATCTAATTCAATTGTTGGAACATCCTTCCCAGAATGATCTCCTTTTTCCAAAATCATGATAGAACTTTTCAAGGGAGGTAAATTATAAAGAAAAGCATTTCTCTTATTGGCCTTTACTAGAACAAATTGTTCATCAAGCAAAACTTCCAAATTTAATGATTGTCTTCTATTCTGCTTCATCCATATTCCCTTAGAATGATTTGAAGGAGTTGATTGCATTGATTGATTCGGATTTCTCATTTGTACTTGTTGAGTGACCTTATTTTGTCTCTCAAGGATCACATTCTTACCCTTCTTAATTTGCTAAGATGCCATTTCCTAATTGTTGTCTTTAGATTCATTATGGTCTGGATTTTTCCCATCTGAGTCCTTTGGTAAAGTAGACAACTTCTTACTTCGATAGTCCTCCTCACCATGGCCTTGTTTTCTACATCCCTTGTAGAATTTCTTAACTCTTTCATAAATTATTTGCTGCCACCTAGCTCCTTCTTCCCTTATATCAATCTAGATTCTTGATGGGTTGTTTGCTTGGAGATTTACTTCTACACATACTCTTGCTATGCTTGGCCTAAATAAGGAGAGTGTAGCTTGACCGTAAGAAAGAACTTTGCCTATTGGCTTAACCAACAATTCTAAAAAAGGCTTTTTGAAAAAATTCAAAGGTAAGCCAGGCATGGAGATCCACAAAGGCACCAAGGATGGCTCAATCTTGAAAACCATTTAAAAAATCTAAACAGGTAATTCTCAATCAATGTAGCATCTTTAAGTCATGTTTTTACATAATCCTCTTGATTTTGAAACCTAATCAAGATATGTCTTCGATCAATAGATCCAACATCAAAGCCTCCTTTTAAATTCCACTTGGATCGCATTACCTCTTTAATGACATCCAAAGGCCTCCCATAAGAACATTTTCCAATTAAGGAAAATTCCAAGGATTGGCAAGAATCCTTAATTTCTTCATTAGTAAAATAAAATGTTGGTTTTCCTTGATAGAATACTTCTGATTTGTCAATATTTGGTGGAATTAAATCATCTTATTTGGTTTTGGATTGATTTTTGAACAATGAAGCAAAGGTTGGTTGAGTGGCTGATAGCTTAGGTTGAAGAAAATGATCATTTGGAAGAGAATCCAATTGGTTTGAATTGATTTATGGTTGTTTAGTAAAAAAATCTCGTGATTTTGATGGTGAATTTGTTGTTTTGGGTATTGGATCTAGTGGTTTTGGAGGTATAGTTGCATTATTTTGTGAAACACTCATGAAGAAAAAATTCTAAGGAGAAGTCAGAGCTTCTCATGTATTAGCTAACACTTAGTGTGGCCAGGATATAGAAAATGGGTATGAGAATATGTTAAAACTAATTCTTACTTGATTTGGGTTTTTACGAAATTGCTTGATTTGGATTTGATGAAATAGATTGTTTGGGCATGCTATTTGTTTACATATTTTGCCTACTAAGTGTTTGATAAAATGCTTATAAATTCAAGTAAGTTATTTGGATTGAAATGAAATGTGACATGCTTGGGAATGGTGGTGAAAAATGAACATGTTTATTATATGTTTTAAGATATGATGAGCATGATGATATAAAATGTAATTGTGTATTACATTTGCATATGTACGGGTAGCATCACATTCGTGACATGAGTGTGGGTGTGTGCACATATTTTTAATCAAACACTATCCTTGGTGGGTTGATACGTGGACTCAGGAAAGTTAGATCTAGTTTCCACCAAGTCACACGGATTTGCATTGAAAATATTTTTCAGGTATAGCAAGAAGGGATAAATTCTCTCTCAAGTGCAAGACTCGGTTACTTGGTTCACTCACTTGTTCAGTGGTGAAATTCCAGAAAAGTGTGTTAGTGTACTTGGAACCGGAGGTGGGATGTTGTTACTTGTCGTGCAGTTTGTTAGCCCGTTGGTGTTATGTCCATAAATTACCTATCCAAAAAAATACAAGATTTTATAAAATAGTAATTGGATGTCTAAAATCAATGGCAGGGGTTTGGAATGCTTGGATGCATACGCATTGCATAGCATGTGTTATGGGAGCCGTTGGGGCTCGAATTGCATTGCATGCACGAGTTCTCATCTCATGGCATTACATGGAATTGTAGCATTCATTTATGAAATTTATATGTTTGAATGAATGTTTGACATGATGATATGTATGTGACATTTCATATGCACCTGGGTTGGGGAGTGAACTCCTTAGGAGATACCTTATTGAGTGTGACTCACCCTTTATGGGGATATATTTCAGTTGTTGGATGACCCTCACTTGGGCCCATGTTGATAACAGAGCCAAGCTATGGCTCTTAAATTACATTTTGTAGTTCTTGTATATTTCTATATTGGCCTTGTATAAATAATGTACAAAACTTGTACTTTGCCTAAGGTATGTAATAGGACTCTCTTGGACAATATTCTTTTGTAAACAAATGAATGTAATGGATGTTGTATGGGTTTGAAGGGTTAAAATTTGAAATTTGTGAAATTTGGGGAAATCTAGGCCCTAGGTACCGGTACCTCACAGGTATCTAGCTTCTAGTGGGCTCAGGTACTGGTACTTATGCTCATAGGTACCGGTAATTGATGACAATGAACCTAGGTACTGGTACCAAGTCCTATAGGTATAGATACCTGGCTTTTAGAAGGCTCAGGTACTAGTATTCCTTATCAGAGGTACCGATACCTCTTCCCGAAAATTGATTTTTGAACTTTAACACTTCCAAGCCTTCTTATCTTGAGCTGTTTTCTTTGGATGATGTAAATGATTAAATTTTAAGTTCTAAACTTTGGAATGTGGACCTTGGAATGGTCTTATGATTACTGTATGCATAGGTTATGTATTGGGTAATACTCTCATGTAAAGGAGACTCTGCTCAAATACTTTTTTGTTATGATCCTGATGAATAGGGTGTAACGACGTGGTATCAGGTTACATAGTATTTATGGGTATTTCGTGGATTGATGGGTGTCCAACAAGTTGAGAAAGGACCCCTGAATTTTGGGGCATCACAAATGCTGCTCCGGCACCCAGACATATTACTTGGGATTAATTTGTTAGTACACCTAATCAAAAATATTTTCCCAAGTCCTATAGGTATGAGCAGGAACTAGTCTTTATGCCCTTGACTCAAGGAAAGATGTCAAAAGTGGAGTATGAAAAGCAATTCACCACCTTATCACGTTTTTCCATAGCCTTTGTTCAATTTGATGAGGCTTGTTTCAAGAAATTCTAGTGGGGACTAGTTTATTCTATTCAGAGCTAAGTTTTGGTTTCAAGTTCACAAGCTATGTTACTATGGTTAATAAAGCTTTATTTATTAAGAAAGATGTGCGGGATTGGCGGGTCAGCATGAACAATTCAAAAGGAGGAGATTTGATCGTGCGACCGATATGGGATTAAAATCTGAAGAGCAAACCTCGGGGCAAAGAAAGCAAGGCTATCAATCCTCTCAGGCACGGGTTGCTGGGAATGCTAGGGCTGCTCTGTTCACGAGGTCACAAATTTTCTAGATCTTCATCAGGACAACAAGGTAAGGGTATGTCAAGTGGTTGTGCGGCCAATGTCACCTATTTCAAGTGTTGGATGGAGGGGCATATCTCTAGGAATTATGGAGTAGTGTCAGTAGGTAAGTTTCAACGGTGATATGAGTGTGGTCAAATGGGACATTTGGTACGTCAGTGTCCGAGCAGATTGGTTACATCATCATCAGTTGGCAGTGTGAATCCCATGGGGAGGAATGCACCATTGGGTACTCAAAGAGGAGGAAAAAGAGCTGCTAGTACCTTGGAACCCAAGGGCATATATTTGCTATGACCCAACACGATGCACATGCCTATCCTAATATGGTGACTAGTACAATTTATGTATTTGGTAGGGATGCATGCATCCTTATTGATCCTGGTTCTACCCATTCATTTGTTGAATCTGCATTTTGCATCCATTAGAAACAACCTACTACACCCCTGGACTATTGCTTGTATATCTCAACGCTGGTGGGTGAGGTAGTGATGGTTCAAAAATTATTGATAGATTTGATTCCTCTTAACATTTGTGATTTTGATCTAATAATGGGGATGGATTGGTTATCTACTTATCCTGCTTCGGTAGATGCTTCAAGGAGGAATTTGTTTTTCAGATGTTGAGGGAACTCGAATTTAAATTCTGGGGTGATCGGAAGGTAACTCCCAACTATCTTAAATCAGCAATTAAGGCTTGAAAGTTACTTCAAAAGGGGTGTCAAGGTTATCTAGAATTTTTAAGGGATACTAGTAAAGACAAGGTGAAACCAAATGACATACCAATGGTTAAGAAATTTCTGGATGTGTTTCCAGGTTTACCACCTAACAGAGAGGTTGAGTTTGTGATCGAGTTGATACCCGGAACCCCACCTATCTTCATCGCCCCATACTGAATGGCATCGGCCGAGTTGAAGGAGTTAAAAGAACAGTGCAAGACCTTTTAAACCGGGGTTTTATACAACCTAGTGTTTCACCATAGGGAGCTCCAATATTTTTTGTGAAAAAGAAAGATTGTACAATGAGGTAATGCATTGATTAGAGGCAACTCAATAAGGTAACTGATTAGTAGTTAAAATTAGCATATTAATATGTCTTTTTAAGACTAATTTTACTTTGATAGAGTTTAATGATGACATTTTAGGTGCTAAAGTGAATAAGTGCTCAAAAAGCATCATATATCAAACTTGAATATAGCACCAGCACATTGGGGGACAAAATTGAAAAAACTTGGAACAAAGCAAAAACGTTCGAACGTCAAACAACGTTCGAACGTTCTCCTAAATTAATTGAAGACCAGGCTACTGAGACATGGCGTGTTACAGCTACCCTAAGGTACTTGAGTACCACATTCGAATGCCAATCAAAGTTTGAACGTTACCATAAATCATGAGAAGACCAGACTGCTGCATGGAGTGTGGAAATGAACTTCACAGAAGACTAGAGACCACTTGAGTGGGAAGGTCAGACTCCATCAGCACGTTTGAACGCCCATCAAAGAAAGACAAAGACAACATTCAAATGC